ACATATTTAATCATTACTTTTGCCATGACAGCAAAAACTGAGTCATCAAATACTGTTTAATTAGTATGCTGAAAAAAGTATAAGTTATGTTGTCTGTGAATTGAAGCAAGCAAACTGACTGCTTTTTTGCTGAGTTAAAAGTTGATTGGTTTTATTGAAAAGCAAATTTGTTCAAACTTAGATAAACTGAACTGATATAGAAAATTTGAAATCACTGTTGTTAGTGAAGGCAGGATAAGCTGTGCAAATTCCATTCTTTTCTTAGTAATGAATAATTTAGCAAGTAGTAGTTCAAAAAAACTAGGTCAGACTGATTACCTTTGCAAGCAGTGTGAAGAATTTGTTTCTCAAAAATAGCTTTTTAAGTAAAAATGAAATAAATGAACAAATGGAATGCTACTTTGTTGAACGAAACTTTATCATATGAATAAACAAACGTTAAATATGAAGAGAGACGTTTAAATGAGACAAATTCAAATGATCAATCCCTCTGATCGAAATTTACAAAAATTGCAATTTTAATTGACAGGAAATGAAAACAACTTAAGCAAAAACTTTCACATGTTATTAAGATTGATTGTATGAAAGTTCATATTGATTTTAGAGTTTCTTTATTTGGTAAAGAAGTTATTGTTTAAACGAGAATTCTGCACTAATACTTCGTTATCGTTTTCTCTCTACATAATTTGATGTATCTGATGTAATTTATGCAAAGCTTGGAATTTCAACAAATAATGAATGACTCGTATTTTCTCAATAAAAAGCTACTTATATTCATTCGAAAATTTCACACAGACGATAAAATTAAATCAGTAATCGAATAAGACAACAAAAATTGCTCGATGTTTCAGATTAGAATTGTAAGACAATTGAGAGAATTGGTCTATCGATGTGATCAAACAACGAAAGCATGTTCTACGCACTATTTTCAGGTTAGTCTGCTGCATGAGTAAGTCATAAAAAGTAAAGAAAATTCGGTAACTACAACATATTTTACTTTACATCTTAGTAGTTCTTCTTAGATTAACTTAAAAAATTAAACATTCTGATTTATTCAACAGCTTTCACATTTTTTTTTTTCATATGAATAATAATAATAATAACGTTTTACTTTAATGGAATTGCACCATATTCACATTATTCATGCCATATCTTACTCATATGCTTTGCAAATATGGCTGATGTTAAATGTGATGCAAAAAGAACTGAGAGTAGAATTCAATTTTTGGCACAGTATAAAATTTCTTTGTAGTATTTCCATGTTAAAAGCATGAAATAATAGCAAAGAAGGAAGTGTGGTGCATTTTAAATTGATATAAGGTGCTGCTGTGTTGTTGCCCAAAAAATTTATCGGAAATACTTAAGCAGGCTTGAAAAAATTTATCTTTGCTTTTGCCCTAAAAAACCGATAATAAAATCTATAAGGAAGCACCAAGCATCATTTTAAGACTCATCAAATTTTCTCAGGCCTTTTCTCAAAGCTTATTCTGATAGTTTTTCTAATCGATTTCTATAATCTGCATATCTAGCAAAGCATAATTATTTTCCTAATAATATCATGCACATTTCTCATTCTGCTTTTTTAATTCAGGATTTTCTTTTCAATTATCCTTGATTGAGGCTCATTCAGCCAAAGATATTATTAATTCTATGTGTAACACGAAATTTCATATTCATTTCACTTCATTTCATTTTATTTCTTGCATATTTTATTATTCTTATTTACAATAAATTATCCTTTTACGTGAATAGCCTAATTTTTGTCATCAACTTTTGCACCCAATTTTGTTTTATTTTTTTCGAAAAAATCTTTTTGCACTATTAAATTTAGTAAACTTCACATTTTATAATTCATACTAAAATAAAAAGGTTATAATAGCAAAGATGACATAACAGCAAGGGCAGTTTATGGCTCATTTTTAATGAGCCATTTTTATGTTTTCAAACAGAATATGTTGACTTGCATATGCACCATAGAATCATTTCATTTTTAATGGAAGACATATTTTTCAGACTAAAATCACCACAAATTTGCTTATTTATCCTGCAGTCCTGCAGCTCTTTACTTACTTTTTTTGCTTTTTAAAAGGAAATTTTGATACTTGCACTCTTTCGAGTATCAGTCATACTTAGTATGTATGCTTACTCAGACTTTAGCTATTGTTTTTCACTTCTAATTATTTTCATTTTCTATTTAATTAAAGCAAACATTTCTTGCCATAAATTTGTAAGCAAAACTGAAGCAACTTTTTTCAAAACATAAAAATTAATTCGAATGACCAAAAAATGCTTAAATCACTTCAATAATGAAACATTCTGCTGTGATAAAAAAATTTTCTCATCATTTGTCTACCTCTTGACTTTATTCATTTGCAGTTTTTAATTGCCTATTAATTTGTTCATTTTTGGGTCAGTTAAACAAACTTTCATTATTCATTACTAATTGCAAACAATTAGAATGATTTTATTAAATAAATTTAAACAAATAAAAACCGCAAGAATAAGCGTAAATAAAGCACAAAATTAATCATCTCTTCAAATTATTAGCACAAAATTTTGTTTATCTTTCTTGACTAATTTCAATCAAATTGCATGCATTACTTTAAAAGTTGGTCGTTGTTGTTGTTTCTCTTTTTTCGTTTCACTTTTACACCATTAAGAATGCTATTATTTCTCATTAATTAATGAGAATTTTGACTAGGAATATCTTTAATGCATAAATTAATCTTCTAAGTAATGATGTTATAAATTATTATGAACGAGAAGATGGGTCATTCAGCTAATCCATGTCTAGACCTTCGTTTTTATTTACTTTTTTGCAAATTTATTTTATTAACTTTTTGAAAATTTCTTATTTTTGATAATTTTTGGGTAAAAAATATGAGTTATTTACCATGAATAAAGCAGTTACTCAACATCATCTCTAATATTCAGAACTTCATGTTAGACTAATGTATTATAATACTGATTTTTTTTTCTTTACATCAAATGAAAAATTGGCGTAAAATCGTGTAAAGATGCATAAACTATAATATAGTTCTTATTACTCTGATTATTACGAATAAATAATAAATAAAGTTATTTTAATATTTGAAAAAATTTTTTAATCATATCAAGGAAAGCATACTGAAAAGTTGTCGATTTCTTATTTTCTTTCAAATCTTTCTTCATGCTTTCTCATTCATTTGCTAAATTTTTGTACTAAAGCTTAAGTACAATTTATGCTTCACATCTAATACGAATGATTAGTTGAAATGTGCAAAACTGAAATCATTCAATTGCACAATTCAAATTTTAACGAATTAATTTGAGTGTGGCTAGTTTTGAAAAATTTTATTGTACTTTTATAATTGCGAAGAGAAGAACTGACCAGAAAAAAAGCAGTATAATTTATGCTAGGTGAATGGATCAATAAATAAGTAAATAAACAAATAAATAGGTGAATGAGTGAGCAAATAAACCGTTGAATGGACAGGTAGATTTTTAGTGTTTAAGATGGATAATTATTTGCCAAGAACTCAACCAATTTTAGTATATATACGCAATAAATAATTATGCATCGTTAAGTTAAAATTAAGAAAGTTTGAAAAATGTTTGAATTGATAAGTGTTCAAATGGGTACTGCATTGAAATATTTGTTTTTTATAAATTCGACTTGTTCTTTTTAGTTTTTATTTGCATAAAGCATTTAAAGTTTCAAATCCACCTTTTATCCATTATCATCCAACAACTCTGATGACAAGCTTGCTTTACTTTACTTCACTTGCATCACAACTCTCTCCGTTACTCTTGCTTGCTTTTTAGGATTAATTTAACTATCTATTAACTATCTATCCCAGCTTGTCCTTTCTTATGCTTAAAACTCATGTCTATTTGCTTATTCATTGCTCTTTTTGCTACATTTCCATCCAACCATAATTTGCATTAAAAAAGATCAAATTATAAAAATAATATCATTAACATGTATATAGTCAGTGAAAAAACAATTCTTTATGTACTGAAGATGAATTGATATCATATATCGCAGCTAGTAAATTAGATCTTTTAGGCTTTGGCTAATTTGTGGGTATCTCAACCGGGCAAGTATCACGAATTCGCGGATGCAACGCGAACTTACATTCCCGGTGCTGAGTACATGTCTTTCTTGCAAAGCCTTCCGCGCCGTACCGCATCGTCTGGATCGCTTTTCCGGTTGGTTATCGATAATTAACTTTCGAGCGCTTATTATTATTTTGCTTAACGTCTAGCTACATTAATAGCAGTATTTGCTAATTTTTAGTCTTTTATATAATAATTATCATTAATATAATACTGGAATTTTATTGAATAAATAACTGCATTATCTAATAATAAATGCTGAATTAAATGTAGAGGTGATAATGGCGATGGTATTTCATTGGGGAACCAAACGGCCTCATCATCATCCGTTTCATCTCAGCGACGAAATGCGATTGATTTTGCTGATCAAGAGGTGATATTCGATAGGAAACAAAAGAAAAACACTGGTATGTTTGTTCACTTCACCATATCATATTTTTGAATCCAATTCAAAGATTTGTGAGGATGGGTAAAAAATAATTAAAAAATAAATTTGTATTATTTTTATGGAGAAATTTTGATCTGTCACAGAAAATATTGCGCAAAAGAGCATCTTTTACTATTTTTTTGTTAGAAAATAGCTGAAATCTTAGAGTATGAATATTGATTTGTTCCAATTCCCAAAAGATTTTCAAATATATATATATTGCTATTAGAGAACTGTTGAATCTGAAAATTCTATTTTCCATATTTAACTTTAATTTTCAGTTATTATTTTACAATTCTGATCTTTAAAATAACACCAAACTATAATTTATTTTTTTCAGTTTTTTTGCTGCCAAATTAATCAACTGTCTTGTTACTTCTTTTAATCTCTTAACATATAATTTATCTGATTAACTCATAAAATTCTTTTATAGGCCGAGTAGTGGACTATGTCGCATTAGAAGGTTTCAATAATGAAGTGGCTAGGTTTTTGTTCATCTTTTAACCTCAGATTAATATTTGATCATATATTAATTTATGCACGATAATAACGCATTGAAAATTGAAGACAAAGTACTGCTTGTTACTGATTATTTTAAGTTTTAGAAAAAGGACTTACTGTACATTACAAAATCTTAATTATCTAATGGTACAAATTCATTTAAAGGTGAATATTTTTAGGTCCCATACTTTGCAACGCACACGCCAGCCCACAAAATGTGCGCACTGCGAAACACTTTCTCTGCTTTCTACGATGCAATGTGCCAAATGTGGTATGACCTGGCACAAATCATGCTTGCCCCGTATTACCGTTCCTTGTGGTCAGAATCCCAAGAGTTTTACCGATTCATCCCGGCGTACAAGTGTATTCGGTGTACCCTTGAGCAGCCAGTTGAATGGTCAATCCCGTTTGATTCCTGTCGTTCTCGAACGCTGTGTTGACGAACTGCAAAAACGTGGATTGAAAGTTAAAGTACTGATTTGGAATTACATGCAAAATTCGCGCCTTCATTGTACATTAGAAGACTAAAATTTCTGTTAGGTAACTGGTGAATAAAATGGAATAATAATATTATGATAATCTAACGCGAGGCCAAGTGTATCGATGAAGCTATTTCAGGGTATTTATCGTACCTGTGGTGTGAAGAGTAAAATTGAGGAAATATGTGAAGATTTTGAACGATCAAATAATGGTAGTGAAGTGAATTTAAGTAGTTATCATCCAATGAATATTGCTTCGGTGATAAAATTATACTTGAGAAAGCTGCCAGAACCACTGCTGACTCACGAATTATACGATGAATGGATAACATTTGCTGAGGTTCTGAATGGAAAATTATTGCGTTTTTTCTTGAATAAAATTTTTTCTGATATCACTTAAGCATACTTTGGCATTTCTACGAATCATTTACTCATTTGTTGCTTATTTTACAGTAATGCTTTCAGCTACACCTAGCACGTTGTCTAATTGATACTATACTAAAAAGAATAAACGAACTATCATTTATTTGCGTATTTCAAGAAGACAGCAGTAGAGTGAAAAATGCTGCAAAACTATTAACTCGTAATAGTTTTAGAAAATTGATTTTAGTTAGTATAAGTTTTAAAAATAGCCAAAATTTGGAAAAATGTTCACACATATGGTTTAACATTTCTGATAAAATTCATAATTAGCTTTTATTGAAAAGAAATTTCAGAAGAATGTTGTAAGTGAAGATTTAGAAATCGTAAATCAGATCAAATTAATAGTTGGGAAATTGCCAGCAAGAAATGTGGATGCGTTAGAATTCCTTGTACTGCATCTAAATCGAGTTACATGGTTGGCATCAAAATTTTTACTTGTTTTTGTCACTAGATTTTCTTTGCAAAATTTTAATATATCTATGATCGAAAAGCATTAAGGCTTAGTGTGAATGAAAAAAAAAAGATGATGGCGATGAGGAATCAGAAAAGTTATAAATCGTAATTGCATTTATATGAATTTGAATGTAGATGTGATTAAAGAATAATTTTAATTACGTAAATGATGTTATTACTGATATTACTTTGTAATCATCTTTTTTTTCTATCATTATATTTGCTATTATAGTAGTAAGTTTGAATTTTAGTGGTTTATATGTCCCAAAAATGCAGGCATTGACAAAAATAATCCTAGGTTATTTAATTTTTACTGAATTTTGTGAAATATTTATGATCATTGATATAAGGAACACGTAATTTTCGTGGGACGTTCATTCATAACATTTACTATTATTAACTTTCGCATAAAAAATGCCCACAAAGAAAATATGCAGGTTTGAAATGGATAATTTAATGACTGCATCAAATTTGGGTGCTGTGATAACACCGTCGATGATTTGGAAGCATCCGTCCTCTGCTTGTAATAGTAATTCATTCCTTTCTAATGCTCATCTGATGAGTAAAGCAGTTGAATTACTTATCAAATACGCCTTTGTTAGTTCTTCTTTTTTTATCACATTTTATTCTTATAAATGATGCAGTAAAACAGAATAGCATTAGAGCGAGAATAATCTTTAAAAATAATGGCTTAAATCTATATTGTTAAAGCTATAATAACAGCTCATAGATTCAGGTTTCAATAGAATTATAAGTCGATGTCAAAATCTACATGTATATGAACTAAGCTAATGAATTTGTAGTATTACTTCCTTTTTTTCATGAAAAGGTTTCAAATGTGAGGCATGAATTATATCATCCTAATTCAAGTTAACTGGGTGATTATTTGCCTTTAATGAGCAATGACTTCGATAAAAGCAGGTCATATATTAAAATGAAAAATCTAAACAACTAATTTAGTCAGTTCTAAATAAAATACTGTGAGCATATTATATCAGTAGTTCTTATAGCAAGCAATCAGTAGCGCATTAAACAACACTAATAATAATAAGGAAGTTTTATCACAATAAAACAGTTAATGAGTTAAATGAGATTCAGGAAATATTTGATGTGGATATTACTGAAGACAAACGTTCATTTTATCAAAAATATCCACATACAATGGATACATTGTCTACAGATCCCGAACTTGAAGATCGATTGTGTGAAGGAGAATGTTAGTCTGTTTCATAAAATTAAAAATTGAATTAGTAACAATGAACTCATGTAATTTGCATTATTTCAAAATTTAACATCTTGAAATTAAAATTACTAATTTAAATTGGATATCATACTAAAATCACTTTTTGGTAAATTATTTTTGCTGCTAAATGAGCTCAGATTTTGCGCAGTTTATTTCAGCGATAGCGGATGAAGATTTACTCGAAGACGAGACAGATGCAGTCTGTTCTACTTTCCTATCACAACCGCCAACTCCAGATCTGTTAAAAAATACGTCTCGTAACAAAAATGAGACGTGTTTGTTTTATTTTTAAGCAGCTTTTAATGAATACCATTTCGAAGAACATTGTTGATTGCTGTAAAATTCTGAAGATTTTTTTTTGTTTGCTTGCTGTATTTAAGACGAGAAATTAAACGAAACATTTTGAGTTCTGAAATTTAGTTTGAAATTTCGAGTCTACTATAAATGATTAAATTTGTTTTATTCAAGAACAGTGGTAACATAAGTATAAATGATGTTACTGATAACATTATGAGCAAAGATAACTAACTATTAGCATCGACAATAATGAAAGTAGTAAATGTTATAATTTTATTAGTATAAAACAGCAATATGATTGTTCATAATAAGCGACTTCAGCTTATCCTTATATTTCTATAATTTTTGTCAAGATCTATTTTAGATTCCATGAGTGATGACATTGATTTGGATAATCATTCCAATTTGACACGAGCCAGTAATTCCCATCACTTCGGTGAAACTTGCACAAGAACTCATTCATTGATGGGTCAGTCAGCATTTCAGCCATTCAAACTGTGCTTTATAAACCTAATTTGTTTTATACGTTTCATACATATGACTGATTGCGTGCAAATCATTATCTCTTATACAGTAACTAACCATTTGGATATTTAATAAGCACAAACTTCAGTGCTGCTTGATTCAGTAGTCTGGAATTATACTATTTCATGCAGTAATTCCCCTTGCAATGTGGACTTTCTAATTTTTTTTAGAATAATTCCTGAGATCATAAACAAGCATCAATTATTTCCAGAATTTCTTATAGGTCGTCTAAATTGCACAAGTGATAGCAATACCTTTCGTCCTGTTGGCAACGCTGTACGTTCACGAAACAGAATTGATAAGAAACGTAGTTACACGACATCTATTTTGGTGTCTCCACGTCCAGACCGTAAATTAGTCTTACCACAAAAGCAGCTCTCAGCAGAAGATACAAACTCGATCACAATTCGTTCTGGTGATGTGACTGTCGATGTCGCCAAGGTAATGATGTATTATTTAGTGAACAAGAAAAAAAAAACTGACAGCTTAATTGTAAAATACTTCCATTTGTTTAAATTTTCTTATAAAATTATACAAACCTTTTCGCCACTTTTCATTTTAATTATTGGAATATCTCTTTTTCTTTAATTTTATATTTTTATTTCTCGTGAACATTCATACTTTTAACTAATCAAAATTACACAGTAAAGTGAAAAGATTAAAAAATTTTATCATACGTATCATGTATTTGTCGGACTCTGACCCAATGAGAAGTGGAAAAATTTTGACATTAAAAATGAATCAATTTCATGCTTTTTTTTTGCTGTTTACCCATACAGCTACTTTACAGGAACAGTTTTACTTGACGGATGTGAACGAGACTTCTTGTGTGAGTCGAAAATCAAGTGATGGCGACCATTTGTTGCTAAGCTTGTGCCGTCGATTGAATGCCGTGGCAAATGATACAGAGAATGACCACATGGTTGAGGAATCTCAATCAGATATCGGCAATAACAGTCCTTGTATGCATTCCGCTAGACCTGTGCTTTTCCAAGAAGCTGATGTTAGCTACATCTGATTTAAATTTCAATCCACTTTCTGACTTTACTAGAGATGTTCAATATTATTAATTAACTAATTAATTAGCAAGAGAGCAAGAATAAGAGCAAAACAGATATCAACTAATTAGTTGAATCTGTCTAGTCATGCTCTCAGTCAACACTAGATTGGCATCCGAAACTGATGTATTAATTTAAGGAAAGATCAGTTACAGAGAAAGTGGCTAAATACATATGTTAAAAATTTAGGTAAAAATAAGGATAGTGATAACAGGATAGTTGTGCCAAGTTCGTGTTTCATCTATTTTTATTTCCCTTCTATTTCCTATTAAAATTTATTAATTTCGAGTCTAAACCACAATTATATATACTAGTGTTATTATTATTACTATTGCTACTATTAAAAGTATTGAAATGGAGCTAAAATTCCGAGTGATTATTTATCTTTTCATTTTCATTAGGAGAAACTTTCTGTCCTTGATCAGTTCGTTCAATTTATATTGCAGGTCTTGGGACTCTTGATTAGGTTACAACAAATCTTGAAATCGTTTATAGAAGGCGTAATTTGAGCTGAATTTAATCTTATTTTGAACTTGTTAAATTATAATTTTCTTTTTCTTTTTGTCATGTCACTATTTATTTACTACAGCTTTTTGTTGTGAGTAACTTTCGCACTATTAATTGTTTGTATGAATACTTTAACTTTTTCCTACATTCAGTGAAATTGATACACTTGTAAATGGGATGTTGGAAAAAAAGTTGGCAAGCAAAAAAGTCAAAGTTTGATATGCAGAAAAATAGTTTGCCGAAAATTAGTCTTAATTGACGATGGAAGAACTAAAGTTAGGGCTAAGTTCACGCAGATAAAAATTGAAAGTACTAGTATTTATCAGTATAAAAGTAACATGAAAGTGAGTGAATATATATACATATTTATGCAACTGCAGTCATTTATTTTTGTTGAAAAATAAAAGCACAAAATTGCCATTTTTATGTAAATAATGGTTGCATTATGTTTATATTTGTACTGCTTTTCCTTTTCAGTTATTTGGTGAGTTTTTGTGTCAGTAATATATATATGATAAATGAGTAAAATTATTAGTAATGATGATGAATGGAGAAGGTGTAATATTATTATTATGAATGATTGTATATTGATTGCACAACTAAATGATGGAGATTTAATTTCTACTCCACTATTATCCTTGATGTAATTAGACTGATTTTCATTACAGTTACCGTTATCATTTCAATTACTGTTAAATATTTTCATTTTTTTCTGTTCTTTGAAAGTCAAAGAATAAATTTAATTCCACGTAAAATAAATACACACCTCACTCTGTTTTATTTGCTTGCTTCTTGCATTTTGAATGAAGAAGTGTGACATTTATGATTCTCGCCTTTACATACTTTATAAATGTATCAAAGGTTTGTAAGTAAAAGACATATTAAACTAAAGCATCTGGCTGGTTGGTTCTGATTTCAGTGATGGAATTGCTCTGGAGAACAAAAAAAAGAAAAGACTACGCGAAAAACGTGAAAGATTCAGACTTGCGTAGACTTTTTGTCGCATACCTTAATTTCTTGCGTGCTGATTGCCAAATTTGATAATTAATACTAAAAAAATTGTGAAACAGCCACTTTTATGCTATCTCACGTATGTTTCATTCAATATTAACCTGTATCAGGCATGTAATAAATAATACATAAAGTCAATAATTTTTCACTCACGATTGATAGTAACAATTACTTACGTTCGTGAGATAGACAAATTAACATGTTAGTTATGAAAGGTAAAAGTGTTGCTAGAATGTGTATTTTCCGATGAAATGTGTCGATTATTTCTTTGCTTCACAAATGTCATTAAAAGTTTGCAGATAATAGTAGCAGTATGAGCGAATAGTATTTATACGATGAAATTAAAAGTAAATGAATTTTTTTTATTGCGTAACAATTGATATAAGAAAAGATTTCTCTTCACGGACACGCAGAAAAATGACTTCTAATTACTGCAGTGGTTCAGAGAGTATTAACAGAGGCAAAGGTGATGGAAAGATGATTGCGTCGATGGAAACTTTTAGTAAACATAGCAAAGAAGTATACTGTTGATGGCATTGTTTGAAAAAATGATAATAAAGTTTGTAATTGATAACAAGCACTCTCACTACATTTCTTAATTCTTTCCGGTGTGACTGAATGCTAAAGCACACTAATGGCGAGATACTTAAGTTAACAAACAACACACTCTTAGTTATCTGTCTCTTGACAGCACTTCATTTCATTGACTCAAGTTCATATTATTAATTTCACTTATGCAAACAAATAGTAACTTAATTCCACTAATCATTATTGTCATTTATCATATATAATATCCTATATTACTAATCCACTGCATTTCATTAAAATGTCAAAATCTTAATCAAACATTCCAAAGTCTTTACATGTTTCAATTTCATTTCACAACTTTAATATTGCACAAGACAATTTTATGAAAATTTTCAGTCTTCCATTTCTACTATTCCCTTGCTTTATCCTTGTCTTAAAATTAAAATCTATTTGTTTACATCAGATAATTTTTAATCTAAATTGAGATAACTGCTAAAAATGAGTCTTTATTTAAGCATATCCTTGATTGTTGACGGATATCAAAACAGAGCAAAACAGTCAAGTAAACTGCATGAAAGTTATACTGTAATTTTTAAGCTTTTCATCATTAATGCTTACACATTACTATTTGTGCATTGCATTTTTGGCATCACATTACATTTGTTAATTAATAGACAATTTTAAATGCAGATTTGATGCTAACATATCTTATTTCCAGACAAAACTACTTTACTTTAATGTAAAGATGTTGCATGTGATAAGTAAAGTAAGTCTTAGACACTGTGAAAAAGATTAGTCTTACTTCACTTCACTTATCACATGCAACAAATTCAAATTGTAGTGGATATAAAACTAAAAAATTGCACTTTCTTTTACATTCACTGTGATCAACTGAGTTTGTTTTTTCTTTACAAAAGTAAAAAGACAGCATGTTCCTCGCATGGTCAACAGATGGTTTGTTGCTCGTGACGTGAAGAGAGGCGTTTTTCTGTGACTGTAAGAGAAGGGTTATTCTGAATTTGCGTGTGATGTAGAGCGATTTAGAGAAGTTAGAATAGGGCGTGGATAATAAATGTAATATATAAGGTGCTAAGGTCTCACTTTTGAGTTTAGTCTTTTGGCACTAGCTTTGCAGTCAATTATCTTTTAACTCTGCATATAATTCTGATCATTATTCACAGTGACCAAATTTAAAAACTAAACTACCTTATTCCAATTTTTGCTTCCGCCCTTATTTCATTTTTATTAGCTGCTGTATTTTTATCTCATCTCCTCATATGGTATACGGTGGCTGATATAGTACTGTTTACTGCATCTAGCAATGTAATCGTACACTTGAGTTAGACTTTTGTAATCACGTAGAAAGTTTGCTAGTAACTTCAGGTAATAATAAAAATGAGATGAAGTGAGAAATTTTCGATGATTATACGAGTAACAATATATTTAGTACTACTCTCATTTTCGATCAGTATTTTATTAACAATTAAAAATGTAACCAATGTTTTTAATGTTTAAATGACTTTTAATAACTTGGTAGTAAGATGTCGCGAAATAAATGTGTTAACCATGTGACTTATTTCTTGAATTGAATACTTTACCTTTTTACTTTGTATGGTAAACTGCCACCCAGAAAGAAAAGGACATTGAAATGGCTCGTAATGGAAATTTCCTGCACTTTGGTACCAATGCTATTCATGCTGGACAGGAACCTGAACAGTGGGAAATGAATCAGGTTGCTCTCTGCTTCCAGTATATACTATAGCAGAAATTTCCACTGCTACTGTATAATTGCTTTCTTCGTATTGACGTACTAAATTTCATGTTGAAATAATCATTAATCGCATGTGACTAACTTGAAAGACACATGACTGCGTGCAGAAGTTTTAGGACGATTTTGCTGGCTATATTACATACAGAGGGGTAGACCGCTGTTAATTTTGATGTTTTGATTACGATCTTGTTGAGATCAAATTTGAATGCGGGAATGAGTTAGTTGATTTTGGAGTGTTTGATTCCTGAGAAAATTTTTTGGAATATTTGTCATTACATTTGAGCTGCTTGATAATCAAATAAATTTTAGAATTATTAAATTAGTAATGAGTGAAATTATTGAATTGAAATTACTAATTTCATTCATCTTTTTTACTCTGCCCAGGTAAATTTATTGTTTTTTGAATAAAACCACGAAAAATATTGAATTTCATTTGTTTAAAATTCAACTTTTGGAATCCTCAAAATTTATTAATTTATTTAAAAATGTGGTAGCATGTCACAGAGGCTGAAAATGTGCCAAAAAAATCACCAGTTTGGCTTGGATGGCATAAGGTGTTGTAAGGGTTGAAGCTGTAAGTCGAGACATTAAACCTTTACAAATTAACTCCTCAAAATTAATTTTTTGGTAAATTCTTCACTTCGAAGGAAACACAAACTAGAGTTTTTACTTGGAGTATAAAATGTATTCAAATAAAAATGGTTGCTTATCAAATTAGACCATATCCACATGGTGGTCCATAAGCTAGACTAAAGTCGTTTAGTTTGAAGTAATATTTCAGGTTATTCCACCAGTTTCATTGTCCACTACATATAAACAACCGGAACCAGGGAAACCAAAGAAGTATGACTACTCGCGTGCGGGTAATCCATCACGCGATGTACTAGAAAAATGTTTATCTACTTTGGAAGATGCAGAATGCTGTAAATATTTGGTTTTTGTCGAGATATGGCTTCTCATATAAATTGTCTTGAAGATAAATGCTTGTTCATATCTTTTTCAAAATTAAAATATTTAGTTATATTGACGGTTAACGTGAGTGATTGTATCTGCTCTAGTTTGGACTGAAGTTTATGATCAAAAGCTTAAGATTAAAAAATGCTTCTTTCTTTCTATTGTTGAAAAAAGTATCTTCAGTTATTGTCACAAACAAAACTACCAGTATCATCAAATGTAGTCATGACAATAAACGCAATGTAGCTCGAATTGAGATTTCAAGTAGATTATTTTTCACAAAAAATATCGGCGAGTCTAAATTTCGAAACTTGTCCATTTTAATTAAAGAATCTTTCGGATCTCTCTCTATTCATTTCATTTTAGGTCGAGTATATGCATCTGGCTTAGCTGCAACAATGGCAATCATAAATTTTCTAAAAGCAGGCGATCATGTTGTTTGCAATAATGATGTCTATGGTGGTAAAAATCTTGTCTTTTTCTATAAGACCTCAATAATTGTTTTCCAAATATTTTGCATGTTTCTAAAAGAGGTTTTGGTCTACTGTTATTATGCGTATTGATTTAAATACTAACTTCTAGAAATTGGTGATTAAAATCACTCATCTAAGTCATTTAATTCGTATAGATTATTTGCTTCTCAGCCGATTTTAGGCACTCAACGTTACTTTCGGAAAATTTCGGTTTCACATCATGGTTTAGATGTTTCTTTTGTTGATATGACTGATTCAAAAGCGTTAAGCAAAGCTTTGAAAAACAATACAAAGGTAAAACTTGTCTTAAAATGAAAGTTCAACAGTAAGTGTAGCTCTTTTAATCTTTAGAATATTACACTGCTTGGTATGATGTGGAATGATTCTATTTTTGACTTTAATTTGGATCTGTTGGTGAGAGTTGTACGCTGCTCTAAATTTTCCTCTTTAAGATTGCAGCGAGGTTTTTGATATTTCACCGAAACTTATATAATCAATTTTTTAATGTTTCATTTTATTGAAGCGAAAACAATATTTTGATTGTCAAAGTTACAGTTATAAATGAAATACAGATTTTTGCAGATGGTATGGTTTGAAACTCCGTCAAATCCATTGCTAACCATAATAGACATTGCAGCTGTTACAGCGGTTATTAAAGGTTTCAAAAGTGATATCCTTGTGGTTGTTGACAATACTTTCATGTCTCCGTACTTCCAAGTTTGTTTGTTAGATTTTTTATTGACTAAAGTTAGAGGAAGTTGTAACTTCAAACTCTGCTCAGACTAATATCATTATCTTTGAGAATGAAATCAGAAAAAATATCAAATTTCATTTATTTAAAAATTCAACTTCTGGAATCTTCAAGATTCATTAATTTATTTGAGTGTGGTAAATGTCACGAAGGCTGAAAATGTGTCAAGGAAATCATCAGTATAGTTTAGATGGCGTTATGTTAAGTAACTGTTGAAACTGTAGGTCGAGACATTAGACCCTTAGAGTTAACTCCTCAAATTTGGTTTTACAGTAAATCCTGCACTATGAAGGAGGTACAAACTAGAATTTTTACAGCATCCGCTTTTACTCGGAGCTGATATTGTGCTCCATTCAATCACAAAGTACATAAACGGACATTCGGATGTTGTGATGGGTGCTGTGATGACAAATATAAAAGCATTAGATGAACATTTTCACTTTCAGCAACTCGGTAATTTTTTCTTTATCGATTTCTCGTTTATAATAAAAGTTTTGATAGTAAATTGAGGTAAATCAAATGTTAAGAGTATTGTCAACCATTTTTTAACAAACTTGTCAAGATATTTTAGTATCCGGCATTTGAAAGGAAATTTTAGTAATCTCTCGATTGATTTAAGGAAAACAGAAGTGGTATCGTTGATTTGGAATTTAAAAAGAACATCATAGAATCCCCGAAAAAGTAACCAAAAGTAGTTTTCCATGTACATTGCGGACTAAGTTAATTTACATTCAACATTATTATAGCGGTTGGAGCTGTACCGTCACCATTTGATTGCTATTTAGTCAATCGTGGCTTAAAAACATTGCACATTAGAATGCAAGCTCATATGGCGAATGCTCTACAAATAGCTAAGTTTCTAGAAAACAACCCTAGAGTCGTACGAGTAAGTTAAATTTTCCTGTCATTTACTGTATTGTTGTCACCGATTTCTTGATTCTTTTGAGAAAGTAATTTCATTCTTCCGTACTTAATACCCAGTTTTGTGCAATCTAGGTTTTATATCCGGAGCTTGAATCTCATCCACAATATCACATTCATAAAAAACAGACTAAAGGAATGAGTGGGATGATTTCGTTTTATCTGAAAGGAGGATCTGAGGAATCTCAAAAATTTTTATCAAATTTAAAGGTTAGTCAATTGTATTGCGAATTACTAGCGGAAATACCTCAGCCTTTCCTTGGTCCTTTTGTAATTTGAACAAATTAGATTTTGACTTCTTAATTTACAGATTTTTGCTTTGGCTGAATCACTGGGTGGTTTCGAAAGCCTTGCAGAGCTCCCTGCTGTAATGACTCATGCATCAGTTTCACTAGAAGATCGGATAAAGCTGGGTATCACCAATAACTTAATACGGTTGTCAGTGGGTATTGAAGATGTAGAAGACTTGATTCAAGATCTTGATCAAGCACTCAAAAAAGCGGTAAGTTTGTGTAATGCATGTATTACATTACAAAAAGCTAGTTTTAATTGATGAGCTGACGAGAAAAGCATTATTTTCCGACTAAATTACCATTACTATGGTTTGTCTTTTAGATGATTTCCTTTTTTTTTTTTGCGTCAGCTGATATAGTCTGAGGCAGTTTTTTTCTGTATTCTAATCGTGTCTAGATTACAGTACTTGTCAGCTTTGTGCAATTTATATGAAGGTAGTTTTGCTGTAAAAACTGTGCTTAATAACGATATCAGCAAATAAATAAGGTGCACTGCATTTTTTCTGTTTTATATGAGAAACTTTCATCCCTAAAATATGCAAGTGAATTCGTAAAACCAAGCAGTCATGTCAGTTCTACGGATGAATTGAGCACAGTAAAACTTCTGCCAGTTAAAACGCTATTTATTCTTGCTTACCCATTCCAGCTGCTTGTTTTTTCTTTTTTTTTCGTTCATCTAATAAAAAAATTTCGCTCTGAAATTTCAGATTTCGAAGAACCCAGTTTAAGTATCCGCAGAATCAAATTACTATGCGGAAAACATTTCTAAGAAATATATTTATGTAATAGGTAAGGGTAGTATTTAATGCTATTAAGTGCTATCTTATTCACCACATTTTGTATCAAGATTGTAATCGCTTATGAGCCATACTGACATTGCTGGTGATGGGTTGTACTGTAAACCGTATTACTAATAAATATTCATCGTCAGTCCATCTTCATAATCTTCATGTTTTAACCTGATGATTCTTATGACTGACTAGTATTCCGATTATTCCTGCGAATTATAAGCACAAACCACTGTCAATACAAATTAAAAGCATATAAAAATTGCTAAAGTAGAAATTATGTAAACATATATTTAAACGTTATTATGTATAGGGAATGAATGTATCGCTAAAACTAAGCATTACGTAAAAATTATAACAATACTCACAAATCATGTTTAACAATAAAATTAAAACACTGTACTGAGTTACAATTTTTCCAGGATTTCCACTTAATGTATGCAATATCACAACAATTGCATTTTCTCCAGCAGTTTAATTGGTGGATTCATAATGCAAGTTTTGTTTTTCGCTGGAGGTGTTGTATGATTCTACAGTCACTAATAAGCAAAGACTGATGTATTTTATGAAATAATCCAATTGAGTAGAAATCCTGGCACTCTTTACATTATTTTCGTCATGATTCAATCCATACTGATGAGGAAAGCTATGTAAGATTCAATTAGCATATATGTAGAGACTAAGTAGGTGCATAAAGTTTAGCATGAAAAAATATCTAAATGTATAGTATAAGAACGAGACACAAAAAAAAATTTGCATGAATTGCTAATTTCTGGCTCTGTGTCTCATACATTACACATTTATTTGGAGCAATAGATGGAGTGAACAATTTGTTAGAAGTGATGAACGAGCAAGTAATCTAGTCCATAATAAGTAATCAGAAGAAAACTGGTCAGTGGCAAACGAATAAGCAGTGCTGTCACTGCAAGATCGGCAACTAACGGCTGATTCAAATTTAGAAAATAAGCTGATTTTTCGATGATTCAATCATTTCAGCTAATTACACCCAAAATTATTCATACCAACAAAGTTTAGCATGAAAAAAATAGTACCTTTATGCTCTGCATAAATTATTTTAAAAAAGTTGCTACAGATAGTTTGTTATTTTTGCTATTTTCTATATTTTTTGTTTTATCTTCCGTTTGCATAATAGTCCTATGATTGGCTGCGTAAAATCTTAATGTAACCGTTTTAATTGACAAGCGGTAATATTTGTTTGAAGAGTGGTAAATCTCAGAGAGGTTTCCAACGTGTTGTTTTGTTAATTCCTGAGGATAGAAGTAAGTGATTTATGGATAAGAATATATAGTAGCGCTATGTTATTTATATTAAGCTTTTCCCAAATTTTATCAAATTTTACATCAAAAGAATATGTTATTTATGTAAATGTAAAAAGTTTGGATTAATAAATCCGTAAGTTCAACTCAGTCAGCACTGAAATTCGAATTTGTATTATAATCATTGAGTGACAGTTTACACACGTATTTCTGTGTATTAGGATTATATAACATGCCTGTTATAGTTGTTTCAGTTGTTGAATTCAATTGCATCTAAAATGGATGCATAAGAAAAAGTCGATCTTTATGTTTTGTTTTTATTATTTATTCAGGGTGTGATGTGTTAGCACAGAGTAAAGAATTGCTTCATTATTATGACTTTAATGAGGTTTTGTGTTTTTTGTGGCTTCAATTTTTAGCAGATGTCGAAACCATCCCATTTGAATTTCAGTTTCTAATTTCCAGTGTCGCTTCTTTATTGTATGTGCAACAACTGCAAAAGATTTTTCAGTTATTATGTATTTTTTTTTAGCCAGAGCTGTAGCCTCATGCCTCTGCCACCAGCACTTTTAGCACGACTTAAAAGGCGAGGGATTGTTGACGAAGGTTTACTTTTAACTTTATGATTATTACATCATATGAAAGGATGAAAAATATTTTAAATGGAAGTGATAGATCTTGAAAATTTGTATGGCACTCTACCCTCTAAAATTGACGCTTTATAATTTGCTTACAGATGTTACGGAAGAAGTAATCGCAGAGAATTATGACGTCGAACTCCCTCTTGGAGCACAGAGTGATGCTCGTCAATCATCGGAAACTAATGTTGCAGGAGCTAAGGGATGTCCTAATAAATGGAATCCTTATCATTATTGTGTACAGTTTTGTTATGATTACTGGAGAGATGGGACAAGTGAAAATAAGTTCGTTCTCTTCCTTTAATCATTCTAGCGTATGCATACATATCATAAGTTATGTGCGAGAAATTATCTGAAAAATGTACATAATTACAACAAATTTTAGTTATTTATGACATAAAATTTTACCTCGTCATTTTACCCATGGCAAAAAAATTAGGTTGTCACAAATGAAGTAGCAACTTTGCATTAGGCATAACTTAACTGCATATTTATTTTTAAATTATAGTTTGATATCAAAAAACTTTAAAATTGAATATGTCAATGATTGTTGAATGCCTTTGGCGATTTTCGGTTTGCTGGTAATCACTTTTAATTTTCAGACTCTCACAGAAATATCTTGAGCAGCGAAACAAAGTTTTGAAGAAATACCCATTACCTAATGGTATGCACATAATCTTACTTCTTGGTAGCATAGAAGGTAGAAGTGTATAGTTGGCGTCATTTGTGTTAAAATATGTTTTATAGGTTGGAAGGAAGTGTACGATCCTGGATGTGCCCGTTATTATTATTGGTGTCCGCGAACTGATGAAGTATCTTGGCTACCACCCAGACATCCTCTTGCTGTAATCGGCGATGCAGCACCTAAAGTCGCAAGAGGTTTTTTTTTAAATTTATCATTATTATAGTCATGATTGGATTCAGTTTGTTGCTGTTCCCAGAGACTTCATTTCGTGGAAATGGATGGCTGAAGTAATGAAACTTTGGGGAATTTCTTCAGCATTTAATGTTATTATGCTTTAAAGAAATGTTTGACAAAGGCGAAAATACTAATGGCATTAGTGAATGCAAAATAACTTACGATGAGAGAGCAAATAATGAGAATGAAGTTTCATCGAAGAACTTTGGTGGGAGAAGACATGCAAAAAAGGTGAGAGACATAGCTCTTATTATGATAGTTTGCGAATAGAGAAAAGGATATGAACATTAGAATCTTCCAACAGGGCTTCTTTCATTTTAGCGACGGCATTCATTAGATTCTGATGGGAGTGAAAGTTTCTCGGCTTCTGATAGTGGTGAAGAAAACACAATTGAACTTAATGACAGAGATAAATTAAGTAAGTTCTACGAAATGTGCTGCATATTGAAACGTCCACTAATATTTCTTTTAATCTTAAATAATAGCTGTCATGCTGAAGTCAGAAATTAACTTGTTATTATGAGCTACTTACCTTTTCTATTATGTCAGTTTTACAGAACGTGCGAAACGAAAGGGAATTGATCCAATGGATCCAGCTGCATATGGGGATCATGTTCCTGTGTATGTATTTTTATGTCTGATATGGATGTTATTTTCTGCTGTACGGAAAATAAACTGCAGTACAAATAACAATTTCTTTAAGTTCATTTGTGCTAGAAGGAGTATGAAAGCAAGCTGTATGCTAGCCATTTTGTTTTGAAAAGTCCAGTAAATAATTTTACCAGTATTTTATTTTTAAAATAAGGTGTCACTGATGTCACTACCGTTTTCAAAATTTCTGGTCTTATTACGTCAATGATAAAATTATAGAGGTACATGGAATTCTGGTTTACATGCTCACGATAAAACAGGTGCTGATGTGACAGCCAGTGGTCCTCTTTTTCAGCAACGACCATATCCTGCCCCAGGAGTTGTTTTACGCAAGCAACAAAAAAAGCGATAGAAACAAATTTCCCATGATTAATCTTTTTTTGCTCACTTCCAGTGTATATTTAATAAAATGAATCTGTCTCTAGTCTTGCTTGGTTTTTACAGTTAAATTTTAACTGCGTTTATTCATGTAAATGTTATCAAGAAACGATTAAAAGGGTTTTCTAGATGTCAATATATGGAGAGCATCTGCATTATTACAGTAAGGACTGTTTTCTGTATTGTGAGGAAAAGTGGTGCTACAATGTTTCATTCACTTCACCAATACTAAAGACAGATAAATTGTAATTACAGTGTTTGTGGTCTAGTTAAGTCGAAGTATACAACAACCAGTAATGGATTCAAATGGGTGGGAAACCGTCAATATCAAGGTTTCAAGATGCAATCCGGCGTATGGAGTTTTACTTGCTCTTGAAGCCTCTGGTTTTAGTATAGACGGATCGGTTGTATTTACTGATAGCAAATTCACTGAGATGAGTTTGTGAGTTCAGTTTTGGATTTTTTTCTTATACGGTTTTTATTTTGCAGTTTTGAGTTCTAGTAACTGGTTTTGTTATTCTGCATTCCGTGGTGTAGTTCCTAATTTAATTTAACATTCGGTGCTTTTAGTGGTTGGTATTATAACCAACCACTAAAAGATTTAGAATTTCGGATTTAATTCGCTACTAAATTTTTGTACTTATGTGATATAAACGATCATATTTCTCTTGTTCCACTATTATATTTGAATGACTTTATTTACATATTGTCAGGTCATTTAATTCGTATAAATATTCAATGATTAGAAAACACTGTGATTTTAGATGTTTAATTGCAGAGACGGTGTAAGTTACAAAAATAGTGCTACGATTGCTCGTTTTATCATCAGTAATTCAAATAAAGCATGTGATCTAATTGGTCGAGACATTGTTGAGCAAACGGAGGTTAGTTTTTTCTCCCTTATTTTGGAAATTCTTTCCTGCAAACTGGATTTCAAGTATTAAATTATTTTACACTTACAGTTGATCCACTGATAATAAATTGATGTTTATAAAATGACGTGAATAATTTTTTTTGTAGTTGTGTAGTCATTATCCATTGGACTTTCATAAAGTGTGGGAGCGATAATTTCTAATTATGGAGTGGTTGAAAAAGTTCTTTAGTGTTATAAACTAATTTTCCGAAACTATCCATTTCATTCCCTCAAATTTTTTTCAGATAGATTGTTGGGTGACAACAGTTGAACAGCATTTGAATTGTGGTGTTTTTGAAGACGTAATAATAGCGGCTGAGGAGAAATTGAATACTGATCCTTATTTATGTTTAAGTCGATTGACTCTGGCGGATATTGTGTTTTGGGCTGTTTTAACTGAAGATGACAAAGCAATAATTTTATTGTTATGCTAACTCTTGTTCTCGTCAAAATTGAAATATTTCTCAAAACTTTAACATTTGCGGTATACAAGACTGCCCATGGTGTTTATATAATGATGGAATTTTTTATATATTGGCATTTTTAGATAATTTCTTCCGGATTTACTGTTTACTAAATAACTTATTTTAAAAGGCTATATTGTTTATTGTAGTTTTAAGTAAATGCAATTTTATTTTGTTAGTTTTTAGGTGAAAATGATGAATGAGATTTTTCAGGTTCGGAAGCGAGAGCCGTTTTCAACATTTTTCCAAAAAATATTAAATCATCCATCATTTGCTTTTGCTCATGATATTTTTAAGAAATTCAAACTGCAAAATATAGAGATGTCAGAAAAGAGCAAATCGAAATCGGTAAATTAGGGTCATTGTGCTGTTTATAAACATATTATTTCTTCATAGAAATTATGATTGTAAATTCAGAAGTATCGTTTTAGCAATATTTAACATTTGGCTGACACTTTAATCACAATGAAAATCATTTTGACTTTCCTTTCATTAGTAACTTCCATCTTCGGAAATCAATTCAGTTACATTTAAAATTTCAGAAAATTACGGAGTTAGCTAGAAATCAAGTAAAGAAAGAGAATTTGGTAAACAAGAAAACAAAAGATCAAGGAAGATTCATCGATTTACCTGGTGCAGAAAAAGGAAAAGTAGTTGTTCGATTTCCACCTGAAGCTAGCGGGTGAGTGTTGATAATACTTTACTAAAGGAGCATATTTTTTTCATTAATGACTTTTCTTTCAGATATTTGCATATTGGGCATGCGAAAGCAGTTCTTTTAAATCAGTATTATCAGCAGACTTTTGAAGGCAAACTGATCATGCGTTTTGATGACACGAATCCAGCCAAAGAAAATGCTTATTTCGAGCAGGTTTGTATTATTATTAGAAAATTAAGCTTTAATTGCGTTTGGAATTTAAAAAATTTAGAAAAACTATTGAGAAGCTCAGTTACGATTTTATGTATTTATATTTCTTCAGTGCTAAACCTCGTGTACACATTTCAGTGTTGAGGAAATGAAAACAGAAATTGAAAAAAAAATTAGGGATAAATTATTTGAAGAGATTGAATACTCAGGAAAATAAAAAATGAGTGAGTAGTACCAAGTAATGAAATATAAAGGCTTCAGGTAATATTAGATGATCTGAAAATGTTGGGAGTCAAACCAGATTATTGGTCTCATACCTCCGATTATTTTGAATTAATGATGAAGATGTGTGAACGTTTGTTACAAGAAAACAAGGCGTATGTTGACGATACAGATAGTGAAACAATGAAAAAGGAGCGTGAGGAGCGTAAGGAAAGTCGATGCCGTAGCAATGGTATCTTTAATCACATGCGCAGTGTCATTATTTCATTTATAATTATAATTTTCTCTATATATTGATTGAAAATTAAGTACACCATTCCTCAGAAAATTTATTCACATAATGGCTCTTCAAAGTAAAATGAAGTGGGTTAATGTACAGATTTATATAATGTTTTTTCCAAGCTGTGGATCAAAATTTGGAACTGTGGACTGAAATGAAGAAAGCAACAAAACACGGACAACAATGCTGTGTGCGAATTAAGATCGACATGAAAAACAATAATGGTGCAATGCGTGATCCGACAATTTATCGCTGTAAAGTTGAAAGTCATATTCGAACAGGAAACAAATATAAGTTAGTTATTATTAGTGTTTAAAAAAAATTTAATTTGAGCACTATATAATTCAATATGTCAGATATATGATTTGCATAAACTAAATACACTGTATCACTTTTCATAAATTTTAATTATTTGAAACAATTTATGCGTGATATTGGCTTCCAGAGTTTATCCAACATACGATTTTGCATGTCCGATCGTAGACAGTGTTGAGGGTGTAACACATGCCCTTCGTACTACTGAATATATAGATCGCGATGAACAGTATTATTTTATTTGTGACGTTCTTGGACTTAGAAAGCCATATATTTGGTCATATGCTCGATTAAACATGATGAATGCTGTAATGAGCAAGCGGAAACTTCTTTGGCTTGTTGATGAGCATCATGTAGAAGGATGGTAAGCATAATTTGTTAAAAGCATAAGTTCGTTAATTCGACATTTATTAATTTCTTAATTGTTCTTTATACTGAGTAGATAAACTCTAAATGGCATATGACATTAAATGTCAATTATCAATACAAATATAAGTTTAAATGAAAAGAAATATAATCAAAGAAAAATTTATTTCTGTCAGGGATGATCCTCGATTACCAACTGTACGAGGTATTGTGAGACGAGGATTGACTGTAGAAGGCTTAAAGCAATTCATTCTTGCTCAAGGTGGCAGCCGTGCTGTCGTCATGATGGAATGGGATAAAATTTGGTCCTTTAACAAAAAAGTGTCGTCATTAATAAATCTTTCACTACTCGTTTTTAGTTACAAACAAGTTCCAAAAATGCGTTGACTTGAAGAATCCACATGGTTTATTTTCTTTCAGGGTTTACAATCCTTAAACCCTTCCAGGTAATTGATCCAATTGCACCTCGTTATACTGCTCTACTTGCCGAGAAGAATCCAGTGCAAGTGACAATCATAGATAATATCATAGAGGAATCAAAGGAAGTATCATTGCATCCCAAGGTCAAATGAATCGTCATATCGTCTTTATTGAGAATTCCATTCTTTTCAGTACTGTACAAAAAATTAGCTTGGCACTTATATATGTTGTACCTTTTAATTTGTAATTATTACCTTCTTTATTGTTATGTAAAAGGATTTACGATTGATCATGACCTGTTGGGAGCTTTTTCAAAGAAAAGTTCTTGTTCCAGAATATTCAAAATGGGACAAAAACTGTTTGGTATAGTAGAAAATTAATGATAGAAGAAGTTGATGCATGTGAAATGAATGTTGGTGATACGGTCACGTTTATTAACTGGGGAAATATGAAAATCTGTAATATTATGAAAGATGGCAACAGAATAACTGAAATTAAAGCAAAATTAGATCTAGATAACAAGGTTTGTTTCTTCTTCTTTTTAGTTATTGCATTTTTATAATAGAAAGATAGTCGGTTATTTGTTTGAACGTTTGTGTTCTTACTTCATATAAAATGACTTTAACCTTAGCTCTAAACAGACTTATTAGTGACTCTTTTTGGTATACCTTATTTTCTGTTGCTATCCATAATGAAATCTAATTTAATTTTTTCTATCTTCTGCAGCTCTCGTCAATGATTTTCTTGTTATAGGAAATAAATCATTTAAATGAGACAAAACGTCTCATTGAAAGGATTTATTTCCTATAACATACTTATCTTGTATATTTCTTTCTATTAATTTGGAAAATAGTTTAAAATAATCAAAGGTTTTATAAAATTTAAGTTTAAGATGAATATAAATGCAAAACTTGCCATCGTATACGGGCGTTGCAGGATTATAAAAAAACGTTTAAAGTTACTTGGATTGCCAATGCGCACGAGAATTCATCAATACCAATCAAAGTAGTTGAATATTCTCATATCATCAGTAAAGCGATCGTTGCCAAAGATGAAAATTGGAAAGATTTCGTCAATTACAAGTCCGTGGTATGCTATTTTTTTTTCAGATGGTGATTTTACCTATAATGCTTATAGTCATCTTGTTCCATTTTACTATTTGCTTCCATCGTTCACAGATTCCAGTATTAGTTAATAAGCTTTTATGAAGCGCAGTTTAAACTTTACAAGATTGGAAGAAAAGTTATTGTTAACTACTGAAGTGTTGATCAATGCTTTTTTTTCAAATTAGTGATAACCTTGGTCTTTTGATCAGAGGCGTCAAATATTCTCATCTCAAATATTTTAATACGCATAAAAGTTTTTGTATGTCTTTATCTATTCATCTCTTTTGTCCTTCCATTAATTTTGTATACATTACTCAACGTATCTGCAATGATATTGATATTTTGCAGTTAGTAATATTAGTGATTATGTAATGAAAAAAATTTATTCAGTGAATGAACGCACTTTCGGACATATAAATGCTTCATTTATCAACATTTATTGAATAAAATGCATACTACAAATCTTAGGTCATGAAATAGAAAAAATAATTTCATATAAACGACGAAAACTGTGACACTAATCAGTGGGTAGCCTAATATTACTTTTTAACTTTTTTTTTTGCCAGTTGCATTTTTATCAGAATTGGTGTGTTACAAAGACTATGAAATTTATTGTGTTTCGCGTCTAAATATTTATATTTTATTTTTCAGAAATATATCGACATGATAGGTGAGTCAGCGATGAAGAAAATAAACAAAGGTGATATTATCCAATTACAGCGTAAAGGATATTACATATGTGATTCAGTCTACAGTGCCAAAAGTGAGTATTCTGGAATCGAAATGCCTATTGTTTTAATATCAATACCAGATGGAAGCAACAAATCTGGAGTTGTTCATGAGGTGAGGAAAACTTTTTTGTAATATAATAGTATTTCTTGTGATTTTGCATTATCTAAATCTTATTGATAATGGAATTATGATGTAATTTCAGACAGAAGTACAGTCTTCTATCAAAAAGCTAGCTGCAGAAAATGGTTATATTTATTGCTTTGTGAATACATGAAGTTTCTTTTAATATCTTTAGTCCTTGATTCGACTGTTCTTTGAGTGTATTTCTGTTTAAGCAACTGCCATCGTCTCAAATTTAAAAAGCCTTTTTCTTATTATTTATCAGATGTTAGCAAAATTCGTTTAGCTTTTATCACTTCTGTTGCGTTTACCATACAAGATTCTTTTTCATTCTAGTGTGAAAAAATTAGTAGCATCATGCGAACAACTTCAGGCAACTAATTTTGTTGTAAGACTTTCAGAAAGAATTGGCTCAAATGGTGCAATAACTGTTCAGGACTTCGAAAAAATTGAGGAAGGATCTTGTCAGATGACTCTGATGTCTGAACAAGTCAAAGAAAGTGTATTCAACGATGACTTGTATCGAAGCATCGATCAGCAAAGGGATCTTGTGAGGTCTTTGAAATCCATTGATCCAACAAGCCAAGAAACTAAGTCAGCAATTTTAAAGTTGCTGGATTTAAAGAAGCAGTGGGAACAAAAAACGGGTCTGAACCTATAGCTCAAAGGAAACAAACACATGAGTGAGGAAAATAAACGTGGAAGGACTAAGCACTAAAATCGGAAAAAAAAATTACTGTTTTTGATTAATTCGTTAACATGTTCAGTAATATTTTAATTATCTCGGCTGAGTATGTTCGTGTGACTGCAGATAAAGTATTTGCTTAATTGCATTTTTCTAGAACTATTCTGAGAAAGGTACTGTTTGTTATACTTTGTATGTTGATCATAATATTGTCTTCGGCTTCTTCATAACTTGTACCTTCTAACTTCCAATTTTTCCACAGATTTATCTCCTTTGCAATCCGGATTTTGTTTGTTAAGAGACGATGTTTTATACTTTGAATTCACAGCTTACAAAAATAAGCTGAAAATCAGAACGTTCAAATATTACTTGTTGAGAAATTGATAAATCTTACTTACCAGATTTTTTTTAGTAAAACATTTGTAGGTCAGTATGAAGGCTGTGTTAAATCCAGATAATCCGACTTCATCGAGTTGGATCATCTATCGATATGACTGAGAAAGTGTGCAGATCGAATGGTGAGGACTATGGGAAAAATGATATCAGACTGTTGCCGGAAAATCTTAGATATTTTGAAATATGGGAAGTGTAGTAACTGAAGACTAGATCACCTCAGTGAGCAAATATACCCATGTTCCCAGAGTTATCTTCGTCAAATTAACTTGCTGCTACAAGTGGCCTTGCGTCCATTCTTAAGCGCTCAGAAAAATTGCAAGCTTATTAATTTTCGAAATGTCTGCTGAAGTTTTCAGGATCAGTAGGAAATCATAATTAATGCATTGCTCTTTTTTCACACGATTTTTCTCCAAAAGTTCGGCTACCACTAATAATACAAAAGTGTAAAATGAAACGAAAATGAAATCACGTTGAATCATTATGTAGATCTTATCATACTCAAACATTCGCGTGGTGGGAATTCGCAATTATAATCACATTCTGACTTGTGGGGGTAGTTATCAAGATAAGAGATCAGGACATGACGGTCATCTGTTCAGTCCAATACAGTGAAAGGCCGATATGACCAATTGCCGTGGTATTCCTGCTCTCTTCATTCTTTTAAGTGGATCCCATTTCCTAGCGTTCGGCCTACTTGTTCCTATCTCATTTGTGCAATGTTGTAGCCGTCAGAAAACCAGAAACAACAGTCTCCTGATTGGTCGAATATGTGCGACACAAAGAAATAACATTGAGACACTTGCCAGAAACCTGCTTTCCTCCGAATGCGTTTTACCCTACCTGTGTCTACAATCACTGGAAGACTGCACTCAGAAATCCGCACACTTAAATCCTTTGACATTCATTAAGTACCGAGAGAACGCCCAACATCTATTAAGATCCGATGCTTCTACGTAATCAGAAGCCCACCCATGTAAATTAACGAATATAAGGAAGAACACACGTCCGATTATCTTCGGTAATTATTTTCTGTAAGGTGAGCTCACTGATTTCTGCAAATGGAAATGTTTTTGTTTGTTGCTTTTCAAAAACTCAATGAAACCAGCAACAGTTTTTAAACGAAAAATAAGCAATAACTTGAAAAATAGCGTGCACAACATTTCAAATATAAATACATAGCTAAAGAAAAGAATGGATAAGTAGAAATTGGATGCGATGCTGTAACTATGCGAGAATAATTCTGCTGGATGCAACTTCCAAAAACTAATAAATGATATAGGAGAACGGAAATTAAACTAATAGAAGGTTTTCATGAAATAAAAGTTCTTGCGACAGATGCTTAATTTGGTGGGTGAATGGCATGAAGCACGGCGTCAACAATACATCTTGCCGAAATACCATATTTGTCGAGTAAAGCGTCCGGTGGACCAGAATGCGGAACGTCAAGAACGAAAAGGGAAAAAACATGAATGTCTTTGGCAGAAACAGCTTGGCACACAGCTTCACCAATACCTGGAGATATATGACTTATAATAACAATAAGCTACTAATGAAATTACTAGACGTTTTGTATCACTCAAAGAAAAATGAAATAAGCACATAGAGGGCTTGTACAATTTAAAACTAATTCATTGAGAGTGTGGTGAAACAAACTTGGTTGATTGTTATTTGGTGCCTCAAGCGAAAAATTCAAAAAAGGTACCCCCAGCTTGATAGTGATCCTCAACAGTGATTATACGGTTTTGAGCACGTTTTGCTGATTGTATAATCAGATCCTCATCAAGAGGTTTGATAGTGAAAAGATCCATAACAATCACTTCCACATTTTCTGACTCCAGCTTCTCCGCAGCTTTGAGAGCTTCATATAATGTAACTCCCGCACCAATAATCAAAGCTTTAGGGCTACTTCCATCGCGCACGATCTAAATTAGATAAGAGAACTAAAATGTAGGATGATGAAACTAATGAAATTCAAAGCTGCAATGAAAAAAGGGTATTCAGTTAACAGATGTGTTTATCAGTACTGATCAAGTGATCAACCTGGCCCACCTTACTCTATATAAACTTCTAGCACATATTTGTTTTCATGATATTTAATTTTACCCGAAGATTAATTAGACATTCTCGGAGGCAGGTTCAATACTGAGCCAACTTGCAGAAGATTATCTGGTATTACGAGATAATCTTTTGAGAACACTTACTTTTCCTTTTCCGATTTCAAAAACTTCATTATTGTCGTAAATGACTGGACAAGCAAGACGTCCAGTGCGTATAAACACAATACCGCGTATATTGGCTGCAAGCTCTGTTGCACGTTCAGCAGCAACAGCATCAGTAGGATAGAAAACAACGGAACTGGGAATCGCTCTAAATTTTGAACTCGGTAGAATACGCTGCAAATCACGAAATACAAAGGTACAAAGGGACGTATAATCAAGAAAAGTACCGAAACAGCGCGATATCTTCCAGACCCATTTGTGACGGACCATCTTCTCCAATTGAAACACCAACATGTGAACCAACACATTTTAAATTTGCGAATGACACCGCGGCCATACGAAGCTGATCAGCAGCGCGAGTGAAGAACGCAGCAAACGTACTAAAATGTAGGATGACGAAACTAGTGAAATTCAAAGCTGCAATGAAAAAAGGGTATTTAGTTAATTCACACAAAATGATCAAACCAGAACGTAAAAATATATGAATGCTAAATTATCCCTCATTAGTACTAAACATACACTTCAATCTATAATTGCAAAAATATAGTTGCATCAAAATGAAAAGTCATGGAAATCATGTTAAGGTAATCACGAGATTTCAAAAATAAACAGAAGCAATCGCTTCTTTGTATTCGAAAGATTGTTCCAGAAATCTAAGTCATCTTTACCATCTGATGAATTTAAAATCATCAGTAGTTAACAATAAATAAAAAAGATTCAGAAAAGTGGTGACTATGAAATCCCAAATTAAAATATGTATTTAGAAAAATGCTAATCAGGAATCACATGTTAGTCATAAAAAATGCAATCATACACACTGTGAAAACTTACAAAACTGCGTTCAATTAAATTTTTTTTGCGTGTAGATTTCACATCGCTAGAAGCTATATAGTGCTAAAATCACAAAACCTGATAACATCGAAGAATATATTACAATTCAAATTTTGCGGGTGGCCGTCATTTCCAACCTTACATATTACGTAAAAGCAGCGCATTTCAAATAGCGGAACTTAAAATATTTGAAACATTACAACAATCCTTTTTTGAGACTAAGAGCCAAGACTGGGAGCATCGGATATATGAAAATATTCTCGTCCTACATGAAATTAAATTAAAACCACTTTCTTAACATCTAATATTCTCAAACATCCAGATTCATGTTTTAAAAAACTGCAGAATTTTCAACTTCACTATTATACAAAGAAAATGCGAACCTCACAAATGGTATAACGCGATCACGACACTGCAAACCTACAGCTACTCCGACAAGGTTCTGCTCCGCAATAAAGCATTCAATGAACTGATCAGGATGTTTCTTCAATAATTTTTCACTGAATGTCGAATTCTTAGTATCACCATCTAGGCCAAATATTCGTGGGCAAACGTCACCCAGTTTGACCAAAGCTGTGCCATATGCTTCACGTGTAGCGACCGAAAATACTTCATAATACAAAACACAACAACGAAAAGTTACGGAGTAAAAAGTTCTTTTTAATTAATTATAAAAACGGGACATGACCATATTGTTTAGACAAGATTTCCATTAAGAAATCTTTCACTTCTACCAATAACATGCAAAACTGTTACTTAGTAAAAACATCTCTGAAGATGATGAAATAAACCCGTGAAATTCCATGTCTATGAAGATTTTTTCTCAAAAATGCAATACATAAATTGTGGCTTAATTACCCTCATATATTTCTACTTATTACTGCTCAAAAAAACTGGAATATTAAATGGGGTCATATGCGTCCAGTGTGGTCATCTTACCTAATATCTCAATTGCGTGGAAAAATTTTTGTCACTTACTAAGAGTTGTTTACAGAACAAAGACTCTAACACATTGATTTTGCAACCAATTTTTTTTGTCTACTGCTTAATTGGAACTTTCCTATTAACACTACTAGTTCAAAAAAGCACCCAAAATGAACCTTTTCTCCGATCTTATATGCCGGCTCAACTATCTTAAGTTTCCCGATTGGGAGCTTTACATCAGGAGCATCAACAATTAGCGGTTTTGATTCAAACTTTCCTATGACATCTGTCTTGTATACGAAACGCTCCCTGATTGCCTCGATCGTGTTTTCAGGAACCGGTTTTCCATGCCAATTATTCTTAATTGAGTGAAGTTGAAACAAGATTTCAAGTGATGACATGAACAAACATGTAGAAACAAGATGATTACTTTATATTTTTCGGCTAATATTAGTTAATGACAAAAGTAATATATAATATATTAAAATACTTTCGCATATTATTTTTTTGGATGCTAAAGAGAAGAGTGTGATTGGTTTTCTATCCATGACACAGAACTAAAGAAAGCTGTATCACAGTCAAACAGCCAACAACAATTATTTAGCAGACAATCTAGGATATTCTCGGCACTAATGTCGGGAATAGCTGGTGTTCTGCATAAAAATCTTATTCTCAGATTGAATTTTCATTCCATATGTCCGATGACTTTTGCATTCTTAAATGAATTTTGATTTCCCTGAATTTAGCCATACATAAATATTACAATGCTAGCACATCAGGAAATATTGCTGTTTCATATTTTCTTCGAAAAGTGAACGTTTAGAACAAAAGTCATCGCTAATGACTACCGTTTAACGGAATAGTAATTCAGTCTTATACCTTGCCATTTTTTTTGCAACTCATCAGCGAAATTTCGCAATTATACAGAAAAAAAGTAGAATCTTTAATTTATAGTGTGTGCCCAAAGTAACAAATCAATTATACTAGTTTACTTTACTTCAAACTATGACAATGGAACTCAAAACTCACTTCATCTTCAATTCCAGCAATGCCTTTTCCTTTCAATGTCTTTGCAATAATTGCTGTAGGTCGGTTTGTCGTCTGACTGAAAAATGAAACACAAGTGTATGAAATATAAGTATGCAGAATATGTAATGAGATTTCGTTTTTTGAACTTATTTAAATGACATTCGTATCGTTGAAGTTTAATGAACACGTGCAAACTCAAAATAATAATGATTACTTTCTGAATATTCTCTATGCGATTACTATGTGTGTTCATTTTTACTACTCACTAACAATCGAAATAATGTTGAATTTAAAAAGAAATTAATGATATAAGAGATAGTAGAATTAGACAAATCCACTATAAATTAAAGACAAACCGTGCATCACTATATGCACTCAACAATTCCTCAACACAATTGCCGTCAATGACGACAACATGAAAACCAAATGACTGGAAACGTTTTGAAAGACTATCAACTTGGTGTCCAAACATAGTTTCTTGAGTCTGACCTAAACGATTCATGTCCACGACTGCAACCAAATTGTCCAATTTATAGAATGAAGCGAATCCTGAAATCGTTATAAAATAAGGGAAATTAAGTCATATTACGCACTGAAAGAGTTTTTAATTCTTACTTATTGTTAGATGACATTTTCTTGCTCAAATAAATGCTATTAAGAAAAATGAGGCGAAACATACCAGCTGCCTCCCAAACTGAACCTTCGGCGCATTCACCATCACCCAGCAAACAATATACTCGATAACTTGCCTGCAGAGTAAAAATTAAGAAATAAATATGCAATTACTCTATATCTATTTTCTGCAACGCTAAAAAATCAAGCACGAAAAACATAAATATGCACATCTAAAAACAGAACTATCAGCCGAACGACTATATAAAAAATTAGACATTGATGTTTGAACATTTTCTGCAGTAACAGATCTATAGACAAATAGAAAAAGCAGACAACAAATTAAAACTAACGAAAAAAACATACTTTATCTATATACTTTCCGGCATACGCCATTCCAGCAGCACATGAGAGACCCTGTCCGAGAGAACCGGTAGCAACATCGATAAAATCTAGCCTTGGTGTAGGATGACCTTCGAGATCACAAGTCAGTTTGCGTAAATTCATAATATCTTCTGTTGAAATATGACCGGCTTGATGCCAAGCAGCATACAGAATTGGACAAGCATGACCCTTGAAATTGAAATGATGCAATACAGTGCAGATATAAATTACACTTAAAAATTAAAATTTGGCTTTAATTACAGTAGATAAGAGATAACTCACAACACTACGGCTACAATAGTATGCTTAGAAATATGTGTACCTTGGACAAAACAAAACGATCAGAAGAAGGATTTTTTGGGAATGCTTTGCTCAATCGCATTTCATGGAAGAACAATGTTGCAATAATTTCCGCAGCTGAACATGAACTCGTTGGATGGCCTGATTTGGCGGCGCAGGTCATCCTGATGGTGTCAATACGCATATGATTAGCCAAATCATAAAGTTGCTTAGTACTTGCTTTGCTCATTATTTCACAGTGATGGCGCCACCTGACAATGCAACAAATTTTACTCTGCAAATAAGCATACATAAACGACGAAAGTAGAAAACAATACATAGCCAGTCCATACCCTTCTCTTTCCCATTCTATGCTTGAAGTAACGAAAAGAGACTTGCATAATGCTAACCTGCAAATATAAACACACTATCTACCCCATGCGTTACAATAAGATTCTCCTCTCCACAACAAGCAAAAAATGTCTTGAAATAAACCAGAAATCTCATGCCTCGTCGCGCGCCACTTTTTACCGCTTTACCAAGTAATTATTAACTGCCAGCCTCACTTCCATACCTGTTCTACACCGCCCATTCTATCGATTTTTCAATATTTTCCTTACAAGTTTAGACACAGCAGTTACAGCGCGCGTACCTCCCCATTCTCATTTCTGTCATACGAGATAAGGAGGTTGCGAATGAGAAAGAGAGCACTGCTTACCTTCCCTAATATTTACTGGTATAAAGTAAGGTGTCTTCAACTCTATAACTAGATTACTCAATCAGCAAGTACAGAGGGAATCTTCTAAATTGTGGTTAATTACTATTTAAGGCTACCCAACAAACTTAGATTGTACATATTATATAGAGATCGAATGAAATTAAGTATAGCGAACATCTCAATTTCACTGACGATTGAAAATGGAATAGTGCTAGCAATCGTCGAGTCGTCATAGGAAGCAAGTCAGACATGTCTCCAGTCTGTCCCTCTTATCATTACTGGACTGAATGCATATCACAGTTTGCATTAAAGCGTAACCTTTGATTTTGAAACTATAGCATCCCTATCTCTTTCATCACAATATGACCCTGCGTAGTAGTTATTTCTACCAACAAATCGGCATAAAACAATTCTGAAGTTATCAACTATTTACGATGCAGTGGTAGCTAACTATGTCTATTTTTATTTCAGTAATAAAATAAAACAAACAAACAACCCATAACATCTGAACAACATAAGGAAGCTGATTTGGTCTCAGTACAACACACCAAACATCGAGGAAGCATTTCCACTAACATGCAAGTCATATATTGAGTGATTTTTTTTTTGAAAAGAAAAAATTATTAATGCAACGAGTAGTGCAATGCAACTGATAAACTACTCTTGATCAAAGATTGGTTATCTTTTTAGAATCAAGTTTTATTTCCAATGTCGTAAATGATTCCAATTTTTGCTCCCTTTGCATCAATAGTTCCACGTTTTTTCCACTATATCACAATAAAGATTGTATTCCTGATCGATACCAATATACGAATCCGACATAACGAACATCGTGAAAATATGCCGACCACTAAAAAAAATTGCTTTGATACGTATTAGCAACTATTCATGTTTGCTCACATATAGCGCTGGAATCATCTGATCTTATTTTCGGAATGATGAGTTAATCAATCAAAAACCCACGACTTTCAAATAAATGAAAGTTATTACGACTGAAATATACTTGGAAGATAAAAAACGAAGCTTTCAAAAAAAGCAGATTTTTGACAAATAGCCTCCCTCATAATGACTAGAATAATTTAGAGACAAGATTGGTTGTAAGAGTTAGATCATTGAAGTCAAAAATACACCATATTTGTCGAAAATATATTTTTTAAAAACAGACTGATTTCCCTCTTATTAAAAGAAACAATCAGCAACTTACAGCTGTCTCGGCATTTGGAATGAAAGAATAATTTTTTTCGAACCAACTATGGGTAGTATTCTTTTACAGCACAACACTTCACCAGTATCTTTCTCGCCAATAATTGCAATCCAACCAGCTTTCCTTTCCTTATCAAAACGGGGACAGAATGCGTCCGTTTCAGACTTTAAAAAAAAGTGAAATAATGAACACAGGAAAAATTAGTACTTGCGCACAAATAGCTGTTACAGCTCACAAATGTGCAAAGTAAAACAAACCTCGTATGGACCAATCGACTCAAATGTGAACAAAACAGTATATCTTGCACTAGACTTCACTTTGATATAGTCAGCATTTACTTCATCTTGCAAATAATCAATTTGAAATGTTTCAGTTGCACTACTCAAAATGCAATTTCTTGGTTGCAGTACTGGCCACTTTAAAAGAGCATCTACGGCCTAAAAGTAAAAAAAAAATTTATTTCTAAAAAGAGAAAAAGATATATACATTACAAGTCCCAAAGAGTAACTTAAAAATGCAGTTGTGAAAAAAAATCTTCATTTAATTATTGAATAAAAGCACTCTGCAAAAGTTACAAACAGACAAAAAATCATAGCAAATGTTTCTCATGCATACTCGATGGCTATTGTTAAATAATTTAATGGACGTAAGAGATTAATCTTCAATACTGCATTACTGATTCTTATACTGGATCGCATTTTGGTATTCGTGCTGCAACGGAGATCAGCACAACAGAGCTCGAATCCACGCGCTAAGTGAATGAGATGCTTTAGTGCGTCTTTTCAAGCATTATCGAATAGTTATATGCCTCAAAGTGATAGACACACAGATTTCCTTCGCGTAACACTTATGGAAGTTCACTACTATCCCATCCAAAGTCATTACATACGAAATTATTTTCGGTCTGCATCTCACCTCCCAATCCTTTGTTCGACACTGCGAAGCTCACAACTTAGCTTGCCTGTGATGATGAGGATCAACTTTTAACATAGTGTCTCAAGAAGTCCCTGAATTTCTACAGCCATAGATTTTATCGTATGCTCATCAATGGCACAACTCGAAATTGTCAATGGTTCCTTATATGCATTACCGCCATCTTTGGATACCCTATACTAATATAGCTGCAGAGAAAGCTGCAATCATGAAGGATTTCTCTTCTCCATTGTTTTTCAGCAGAACCATCTATCTGGAGGTGAGCTACTCAGAAATCTGTCGATCCAGGTGACATGTTGAGCTTTTTAATGCACTTAGTTACATACTCGTGATTAACTGAATTGAACGTTTAACCACTAATTTTACTTTCATAAACGCTCACACGCTGTGCCAACATGCTTAAAGCCCTATGACCGTCACGTTTAAGAGCAAGTATGAGATTCATCTCCCTCATATACTTCTTTGAATCTTTACCTCCAAGTTTTCACCGGCCAAACACCGCCCTATAATGATTTTATAGAAATTAAACAAGCTTATCTTCTTTCTTATGTTTACCTTCTATCTCGATAGCTTTTCTCGCCCTGTCATATCTTCATAGCATTGTTGTACTATTTGGAGCTTCCTGGCAAGATCAGTCATTGACTTCAGGGGATTCTGTGTGATGTATCCACTCACCGCTCCAAGTATAAGTGGGTCAACGTTTTCCAAGGTTATTTCCCTCTACTTTTCTAGTTAATTTCACATCTCCAAGCTTCTTGCATAAGTGCCAGGCATTTCTCTTTTACGTCTAGATAAGCCTCAGACTTGTGTAAAGTATTTTGTTCAAAATACGTGCCTTGTTTCTGGACACGCTTCGCTGACTCCTCTAAAAACCTCAATACTTAAAATCTCAATTCACTGAATGAGTGCTCCGAGTGTGACCATTCTGCTGGTACTTGGCTGCGGTACATTGACGGAGTGGTCTCCCACATTCTTCACGGGACCTTTTATTGCGTCATGAGTTTTCCAATATAATTCCAGATGCGGTTTTTTCCCTTTCCACCTTCAATTCCTGCTTTGTAATAAAACTGAACCACTCAGAGTTAAATCCATTAGAACTCCGTCGAACAACAACTGGACATATAAAATAGTTATTCGTAATGAAAAAAAACAGAATTAGAAGACGCTACCTCAGCTGCTTCTCTTTCATTGATAGACTTAGTTCGTAAAATCTCCCTAATGGCTTGTTTTTTCGCTTTTTCCACAAACCTTTGATCTAAGCCAAGCTTATTCTTAAGCAATGGAATCGTGGAATCATAATGCCTAAGAGTAGACAAACTTCATTTAAAATGTTTATAAGTCTAGGCTTATAGTTATAATGATAAATTCAAAGAAAAGAAAATCTGCAATGAAACGTAATGATTTAAGAAAATCCAATTTGTTCTGCAAATTATATTGCACACGAAACGTTCTTCATATAAAATGTCAAATTCGAGATATGGCTCAAAGTTCTGAAAAAAACAATCGTAAAATGATCAAATAACTAGAAATCTTCAATTTCATACCCAATTTTATGTATAAGTCCCTCGGTGAAATGTGGAATAATTAGTAAAGGGTGATTTAGATGCCAAGTTCCTTGGATGATCATTTGCATCAATATAACAACAGAAAGAGAGGTCGACAACCATTTTTGTAGAAGGCTCATGTCCATCATAGCCTAAAAATTTTACAGAGATTTCCATAAAATCTTTCAGATTCATCAAGAAAACAAAACAAATTTATTTTATTACAATCTTGAAAGTAAATAAATATCATTTACTTACTTGTTCTGCCCTGTTTCAACCTTTACTTTAATTCATTTTTAAGGACGTACGATAAAAATTGACAACAACAAAAATTACATTAATAATTCGAATGCACTGGTCTAACATTGAATGTTGGTCGCTAGCAAAATCAGTTCCTAGTTCCAAATGAGTAAAATGAGCCATTAACATAAGAAACGCCTTCGTATGGGGCGAATTCATCGCAGAACCAGCCGATAAATCACATGATAGAATATTTTGAAGTTGCCTACAACTATCTCTTACTAGAGTAAACAATTAAATTATTCTCTAAAAGACACTCCCACTTGAAATAGATCTTTCAGCGGATGTCAAACTGCTTAGTCACAAAAAGAACTACTGATAATAACTGAGAAAGAACTGACGCATTAACTTGATCTTCGTTATGTCGGACCGGAATCTCATCGTATTCTGGACAGTCCTGAAATTAATGTAGAACTTCACTAACATTCAATTTCTATGCATTTAAAAAAAATACAGTTTTTAATCAGTATTTCTCAAAAGCATGAAAATCTGTAATTGAACAATCCATCTTGTTTGTCATTCTAGAAAGATGGAATTGCTGATGAGCTCGAGTGATAATAGGGTTTTAAACTTCCTAGCAGTAGTTATGTAACCAAGATACATTGATCTTGCAACCAAACAATGAAAGACAAAAAACTTGGTTACTCACAGCTAAAACTTTAACAAGCCCATCAATTGTTATCGAGGACGTTATATTACTGGCAAAAAATCGAACAGTTTTATGATCTAGATAATATAAACTCGCAATAATTCCCAGAGATGTCGAGATAAGGTTGTCATCTTCCTGCAGATTATGTAATGGATTTTTTTGATTGCAAATCAAATTGAGGATAACACTAATAAGTATAAAGAGAAACTTATATGGAAACAATTGTGTCATAAGTAGATATAAACTGAAAAAAACAGGAAACGAAATATTTTGACGAGAGGAAAAATTCAAATTAGGAGTAGATAAAAAAAAAATACACATATGACAAAGCAAACGAACTTCATAAATATCAATACATTTGGAAAGCTGAAGCTCTTCGAGACACCTATCAACAACTTTAACAAGAAACTGTGTCAATGCTCTCGGTGTTGCATTTTCAACGCAGTAATAACTGCAAAATAGAAGCGAAACGTACGTTTATCTCGAAGTTGGCAAAAATGAATGGCGGCAAAATAATGGAAATAAGAACACTGTAATTAGTTGCATGCACAGAAAATTCAAAAATCAACTTCCTGATGAGAAATTCTCTAGAAAGTAATTAAAATATTATTACTGTAACAACTGTTGGCAATTTTAAAGCGTTACGTACCCTGGATTTGCTAAAATACGACGATAAAAATAGGTATTAGCAATATATTGTACAACATCTTGCTTGGAAGTAATGGTTCCAGCATATATTTCTGCGTTTATATGATTTGGCAAAGAAGAAAGCAAACTGAAATTCAAATAATAATTTTTGAAAATATTCATGATTATATTTGAAATTACTGAAAACTACTTCCTTTATAATGCAGATTAATTTTCCTTTCCTCTTAAACAAGAAAAAAATTATCCAAAGAAAAGATTACCACGAATACTTAGAAAAAATTATTTGCATAATTACCTTGATTCGACAGGAAAAGGCTCATAAAGAAAACGTTTGTAAAAATTTTTCTTGATGTCATGAACAAATATTACAGCAATGGCTATATTATCAAACTGAGGTCGACCAGCGCGACCTATCATTTGCAAAATATCTGAAATTAACATTAGATAATGATGACAAATATTTCTCAAATGATTAAAAACAACACAACAAAGTTTATGATAAGGCTGGGGTGATACAACACAGTAAACATTGAATTTTCGTGTGCAAAATATACAGATTATGACGATGTACTTCAAAAAATGATGCTAAACTGACGAATATCCTAATTATAAAACGGAAAACCCTTAGCACCCAACCAAAATAACTGCCAGAAAATCTACTTGCAAAGACACTTAATACAGCTAAAACTCGCTACACAGGTGAAAAATGTCAAGAATCAAATGTATTTTATAGCTTCCATAACACATGAAACTTATTTCATGAACACCAATCTGCGTCATTTCGTAATTTACAATGTGATCCAGAAAAAACCACCACTCTGAACAAATGACGCTCTACATCACGCATATTATACATGAAAATGAAAAAAAAATCATTACCTGTAACTGGAAAATCAACATACGTGTGAGATTTTCCATCGTAATATTCAGTTCCCTTGATAATAACCAAATGTGCAGGCATATTGATGCCCCATGCCAAAGTTGCCGTAGTTACCAATACTTGAATTTTCTTTTCAACGTAAAGCTAAAATCACATTCTTTGAAAACAATAGAATGAACTAGGGAATAATAAGTGAAAAGAAAACAAGGCAAAATCATGCAAGAGAGAGAAATATTATCTTTTACGAATATTATCACATCAATTTTTCAGAATCCTCAGATTTTCAGATACTTTCGGAACGATGAAATTTGATATTTCATGTCCTTTCACTGCATAAGCTCAGAACTAGATAAACGAATTACAACATGGATTCATGAAATACATAGAATTATATTAGTACAAAAAAAAGCTTCAGATTTAGAATCTAACACACCTGTTCGATGATATTCTTTTCATACTGCTGCAAACCAGCGTGATGCAATCCAATACCAAATGGTAGTACCAATTTCAAATTATCATCCTTGATAATAGAAATCAACTGTTCAAGCTAAAATAAATCATTACAAGTGCACTATTCAAAAAAATATTAAAAACATTTTATTTCATGTAAATTAGTGCAAGTTCTGTGATTAATTGATAAAAGGTATGGAAAAATTGAAATTGCAAACAATGATAAATGTTGATTGACCAAGAAAGCATCACGAAATCAACCATAACAGAGACTAAGAAATCCAAGTTGCAAAAACATCAGAAAAAAATTGAGCTCTAGATATTTTTTAATTCTAAAACATCGTGCCAAAGTCGTTGAAAACAAAATTTGAAACCATTAAATCTGAAGATTTTTCTCAAAAGCTACAAGTCGAAATACTACACACCTCTTCTGCATCCATGTTAAGCCATTGTTTAGGGTCCTCTTCGGTGGCAAGCTGGGACATAAAAGCCATGGCCGTTAATCGTGTTTGTCGCCGTGACGCCACAAACACCAGTACTGGCTTGAAGGGGGAGTAACTTTTGATTGCTAAATGAAGTAACTTTGATACATAACACTCAATGCTTCCGGAAAGTTAAATAAAAAGAAAACAATGATCAGTTTTAGAAATAAATAAAAATCTGCAGATAACAGTATATAGAATATTACCCCTATAAGCTGGTCGATCCATCAAAGCCATTCGAGGGCAATAATACTGACCTGGGAAACCAGAAATATGTACTTCAATGGGTACAGGTCGTACATTTGGTGGAAAATTGAAAAGTCCCTCCTAAATGTACACTAAATACATTGTTATGGTTCTTTACAGTAATATTCAACATTAATTCTAGATATAGAAAAAGCCCCTGAAACTCTCGTTGCTTAAAACTCTGAGACAACAGAAATATTAACTGAAACAAAGGCATTCAATATTAAAAAAAAGATTATCCATCACAAAATAAAACATAGCAAAACTGAGTAAAAAGTACATATGACAAAATATGCTACATTAATTTTCTAGATCATTTATATCACGATATTTTTGCATTCAACTAATCTTCGACCCATCAATAACTGAATTATCATTTTGAAAGAATTTGTGCTTTAATATTCTAAACAAACAGTAATCATCCCATATAGTTTTCGACAGTACAAGAAAAAAAATTGACTCACATTAGAAACATTTAACCACTCCGCAACATCGCCTGCATTTGCAAGAGCAGTAGAAAGACCTATCACGCGAATATTATTTATATGCCGCTGTTTCGCAGTCATCAGTTTAAGTCTGAATACCATTTTTTTCAAATTCAAGAACGAAAATATTTTTTAGCATGCCATTCATACTAAACAGCTGAAGTTAAAAAAAATCTTCCCAGCAATAGAAATATAATTATTGTGAATCTCTGACCTAGTAATAATGGCCTCCAATACAGATCCTCTCTCAACACCAAGCAAATGGATTTCATCAACAATTACGAGAACAACATCTTTAACATACTGACGAAGTTCCCAGCTACGTGTAATCCCATCCCATTTCTCAGGTGTCGTAATTATGACTTGAGCTAATTTTAAACTCTGGATATCTGGAGTATGATCACCAGTGAGTTCCACTGTTCTGAAAATTAACAGGTGCCCCTACTTTATAGAATTTGAAGCTTGAACAATTGGATGTGTAAACAGTACTAAATTCATAGAAATGATTAGCTGCAACTGGATTAAAATCAGGTATCCCCATAAATTTGTCATTAACTACTCATGACGACAGAAACCTTTAATTTGCATGGTATAAGGGTAACAAAAATGAAATAAAAATAAACATGTTAGAAAATGGTTAGAAAGCAACGAAGCATTAAAGTTTATTATGATATCAGTGGAAAAAGTATCAATACTTTGGAAAACATCACTGAAAGATATGCAGAAAGGAGAAAAATTACAAGTGCGAATGGTAGAAAAACAAACGTACCTTATATTAAGACTTCGAAATTTTTGAGACCAATCGCAGAAGCGTTCACGTACCAACGCTTTTAATGGTGCAATATATACACACTAAATCAAACATCAAGCATAACCTGAGGGAATAATCAGTGCTTGTGATAATTTTAACGAAACCTTAGAACTACATTAGAACCGTAACATGAATTTAATATTTCTTATTTCATATCACAATAAATCAAATAAATGAAGTGAGATGTGAGTGAAGTAACAAAAAAATTTGACAAAACGAGACCTTTTTGTCAGGAAACAAGTTAAAAGTACGGAACATTGCTAGTTCAGCACAAAAAGTTTTTCCAGAACCAGTCGGTGCTCCAATCAGTGCATTTTGATCAGTTTGATACAAACAAAAAAATACCTGCAACAAAGTAATCTCTAATCTGAATTGTTTCTCCAGAATTACATACAATAAAAACTACTGAAATAACCAAGAGAAAACCTGTGTCTGTATTGAATTGAGAAAATTGAAATTGTATAATGACTCAAATGCTTTGTTATTCAAAGCCGATAAGGATAAAGGATCCAGATCCAACAATTCTGCAAAGTTAATATTTAATTTGACAAATTCAACAAATGTATCACTAGCACAGCATTCAATACAGCTACCTATAAAATTTCTTTATAAAAAGACTAAGCCAAATCCATTATTGCGTCGAACAAGAAATGTATATTTTGGTAGAACTTATATAACTTTATTAAATGAACAAGACAAAAATCAACTGGAGTCACAAAAATATTGCTACCAGTATGAGCACTGTGTGAAAATGGCAAGATACAATCGTGCATTGAAATGGGTACGACACTATCATCAGTAACATATCGATCACTTGCCACTCGTACTTGATATCTATGGGTCAGTTGTTGATCATTAATTGGGATTGTGAAAACGAGAGACTGTGATTCATGATTGAAAATCTGAAATCCGAAGTTAAAATGAATTCATAATATAATGGAATTATTAACATGCATATTAGTAATAAAAAATGACAAATAACATGGATTACACAGAAGGAAAACAAAGATTCTGAAATAAGAAACTATTATTAGCTTCAAATCAATTTCATATATATATATATATATATATATAT